TTGTATTTATCAGGGGCCAAATATGACAGGTGATGTCACAAGTATTAATTAACCAGCTCTACGAATAAGGATCACATGTCAAACCCCGATTACCATAGAGAGACCACGTGTTTATAAATCATGTGCTTATTATTCATGGTGTATTAGTGTGGTGATAGTTTTTGATCACTGATGGAATATTACACTGTCTCGGCAGTATATTTTCAAAATAAACTCTCTGTAGGCAGTCTGAAATTATATATATTTTTTTTATTATTCTTTGAACGTGTATCATATGAACAGACTAAATGTCATAACTGTGGCTGATGTGCAATAATGATGCTACTGAATTACTACTAAATGTCTGATATAGATGTAAATTATTTATTTTATGTTTGTTTTATTAGAACCAGGTGTCTTAACAGACACACTTATAGCACACACGGATGCTATATGGGACCTAGCTTATGATGCTACAAGACACCATTTATTGTCCTGTTCTGCTGATAATACTGTAAGGCTATGGAGTCCTCAAAGTAAAACCCCACTTCTAAATACATATACAGGGGAAAGGGGTAAGTGCGCCCTCTAGTGTCCAGTGTTTGAAATTCAGTTATGTGCATTTGCTTATGTGAAAATTTTTTCTTGATGGACCCTACTGTTTTATATTTAAATGACTATTGTTTAGCTACGAGTTGTTGACTGTGTTGGCAAAGCTATATACATTGTATATATATGTCATATTTCCTCCACTTTGGAATTGTGGGACAACCTCAATGAGCATAGTGTGTGTACAATTAATCAAACTACTGAATCTATTTGAGATTTATGTCATGAAAACAATCTTAGAGTATATTATAGCTTTTATTTCATCTATTTGTTATATTTGTTTAAGATGATGGTACGCCTACGTCAGTTGACTTTGTACGCTGTGATCCTAGTCAAATGGTGACAGGTTATTCTTCTGCTACTGCCGTACTGTATGATCTGGAAACTGCCACGCCTGTACTGAGACTGGAAAGCATGCAGACAGCAGGTAACACACCTCTCTCTTTGTTCTCGGGGGTGGACATTCGGGCATTTTCACCGCATAGCAACCATCACGGTGAAAAAAACAAAGGCCGAGAACTCTCAGAAAACATTACTTTGGGATGGTTGTTGAGACCCCCCTGAACAGTGTAACAAGATCACCCCTGAACAGTGTAACAAGATCACCCCTGCGTGTGTAACGCATATAAATTTGATTGTTCAGGATTACTTCAAAGTTGAATTTTTGTTCTCTTGAATTTTCACTGGCTCGACGTTCCACGTTTCTCAGCTGCGTGCACAGCGCCCATAGAATACGTGGTACAGTGGTGCGCGTCTTAGCAACGTGGAACGTCTGTGACGTAGCTCCGCCCCCAAGGATAATAAATAAATTTGATTAGGAACCTAGTGGTATTTTGGTGTTAGAATACAGTAGTAAACAAGAAACAAATGTTTTTCATCAGGGGAAATCACGTAATTTTATTGCTGTGAACTAAACATTTCAGATCTTTAGAAAGGCAGTGTTCGTCACGCAATGCAATGAGCATGCCTTCAAATGTCATGTAAACAATGTAATTTACGCATGTTGTATACATCGCTATGGTACCCATATTAAACATGATATAGTGTAACAAGGTGCAACAACTATAGCACTTTAAGTTCTCACAGAAATCAAATCAAAACACTTGATAGCAAAAAACTATTTACAGATAATTGTTGCACTGTTTACCTAGTTGAATGTAATTTGAGGCTCCGCCCCCATAAGAAGATAAATGTATTCAAACAGGACATCGTACAAATACCAAAAATTGATGAGCAAGTCACCATTTGTATATTCATATTGCTGACATCAAATTAGTATCTTGTGTGACGTTTTCTATAGTTACTTGATTAATTTTGTGTGTATATATTGTAATATTTCAGAAAATGAAGGTTCTTCACAAATTAATAGAGTAGTAAGTCACCCTACCTTGCCAATTACCATTGCTGCATATGAAGACAGGCATATAAGGTTCTTTGATAATAATTCAGGTGAGTACTAAGTCCTAACAATCACATGTCATCTTTACACCTATAACTCAGCGAAAACTTGATTAAGTCCCCATTTGGATTCCAATCTTGCACATGCTTGAACTGATTAAGTTCAAACTTCACAGATATGTCAGACATTATATCAGACATGCACATCCGTTAGTTTCATGATCCAATTCAAGATGGCTGAATGGCAGCCTTTTTGATCACCCAATTTCACCATTCCGGAACGGAATCTTAGGTGTGCATGCACGGATTATGTTCAATATTTGGTTACATACGTTGAACATAATGGGACCTTGATGCACATTATTTTATTTTTTTCAAAATAGCCAAATAATAAATATTTTACATGCTTGGACTGATCTAGTTTAAATTTCACACATGCATGTACAGTACATTTATCACGTAAGCTTTGGCGTTTATAGCATCATTGTCGCCTATGCATCACATCATTGTGGCATCATCGTGGCCTTAGCTTCGCAGTCTCTTGGCATCAGCTTCAAAGTATTGCGGCATCAGTATGACGTCTTTAGAAATGCAATAAAGAAAAAAACATGTACAGAAGATTGTTATGTAATCGATCTTCAAAAGAGCTAGCTGAAGATCAAGCTCAGCATGATCAGTTAGATATAAGTCGCACCTTACTAAACTCTGTGCAATCACGACCAGTATTTGTTTGCACAACAAAACAGAAAACACATCGCTTCAGTGTGTTTACATGAGTGTTGTTCAAAATGTGTGTTAAGATTTGTCAGATTGAATTATTTTCTCGAGTGGATCTTAATCGCCCCAGACCCGATCGTTTAATGAAATTTTCCTGGGTACGTGCATGTGTATCTTTTTGTCAATTTCACATCATTAATAGTACACTCGGTGTCGAAACCTCTGCGACAATTTACAAATACATATTAACATATTATTTAGATGATATGTGAGTAATTTTTGACTCCCGTGTGCGAAGCACAAAAGAAAGTCTTTGCAGTTACCCTGTCTGTATGTCTGTATGTCTGTATGTATGTCACTTTTTTTGTTCCACCGTTATCTCAAGAACCACTAATCAAATTTTGGTGAAACTTGGTAAATAGATACTCTGGGATAATGCGCATAGTTGATTAGGTTTTGGTAAATATTTATGAATATTAATTACCTAATTTGCATGATAATTAGCTGATTTTTAGCTGTTTCAAGACTGTTCCACTAATATCTGAAGAACCATTAATTGGATTTTGATGAAATTTGGCACATGGATGCTCTGA